ATGAAGCTGATTTTTGTCTTATAAGGAGTAAGAAGGTTAGAGTTAATTAAGACCACAATTTGGCTAACACTTGGACAATTCTTAGCCACTAATTTTTCTCTTTCTTCCCCTTACTTATAAGCCACAAATTTCGGTCCCCTTAGCTGTAATATAAGAAGATATTTTGGCTCAAATATCAATAAGCTTGTGGTGCAAGAAAGTGGTGGTCCAGTGGTGCGTTCAAACGGTAGTGCGCGGGACCCGCCGGTTCGCGCCGTTTTTCTTAAAAACTCACGTACTAGGGTTTTTACTTCCCATTCACTAACCTTATTTTACTGCTACTACTCACATATTATTTTTCACTTAAAAGTCACTTTTAATCTCCAAATTTAATCCTTACTCTGTACCGAAAATTCATCCGGCGAAAAATCGCGAAAACCCTAATTTTACTCCAAACTTGAAACCAAAGCGTAAAACCTTATTTTCTAGGTTTATTTACACTTATCATGGGATAATTGGATAGTAGGGCTTTAATAAATGATAATCTTCAAATAAAAAGAAATTTTTAAGAAAACGTGAGGAATTTTTCAATTCCAGTAATTAAAATTAGGGTTTCAATTAAAATATGAGAGATTTAGGAAAACCGGTTAGTCACAAGTAAACTAGGGTTTTTGGCTACAATATTAGGGTTTCTAGTCTTTTAAACCAAAATAAGGTTTTAAATCAACCCAAAGAAATACACTTTAATATTTTCTTCACAAACAACCTCCTAATATTCGGGATGTTACAATCTCCCCTCCTTAAAAGAATTTCGTCCTCGAAATTCATACATGCACTTCGAATAACATAGGGTATTTTCCTTATATATATCATCCAATTGTGCCATCTCACAGATTCACTGGAACTCAAGTGATAGCCTGTCAGGCAGATCAACAGATCAGGGTAAGTAACTAAACACAAGTAATAATCTAACCATATACCGGTTGGTTGAAAAATCGAATGAGACGGACGGGAGGGTAGAACATAATCGGGGCAATATCTTAAAATGACATCAAGGAAGCATAACCAAGGGAAGAAGAAAGAAATCGGTCTTTGGCGAGACTTTCTCGACATATACTACAACCTAATCATCCTCTATAGGAACCCTAGCCAAACTATTACTCGATTCGTCCATGAAAACACTCCTGGGTGTTCAGGTACAAGAATCCACAATAAGGTAATTCACAACTCGAGCCGGCCGGTCCCAAGAGTAAATTACCCATATTAGAGATTCCTACCCAGCATACATATCTAAGGTCCCCAACAATAGACAATTGTTCCACACTTAACAAGTCAATCCCCACAGTCCAAGAACCTTCTCCCGGCACGAGCTCGATAGGAGCTCTGATACCATCTGTGACGACCCCACCTTTCCCTAAGGCGTACCAAAGGGTTCGGCAGACCGCCTGCCCAGCTCTCGCCAGGACTCACTCACTATCTCAATCGAGTCACGTACACACATCCATGAACCATAAATAACATTCCCAATTCAAGCTTATAATTTACATTAATAGAAATCGAAGTACAAAGTCTCAATACACCAAACTAGTTCAGAACGTATACAATCCAAGTACAACATGTTTCATTCGAGGAATAGCGCGAGTACAAGACCAAAAAGTCAAAAGTCAAACAAAAGGCTACGCTAGTCTTTTACAAGTCTCACGCATCACTCGTACCCCTGAAAGGAAAACAAATGGAGTGGAATGAGCTAAGAGCCCAGTGAGGTTCCAAATAGCAAATTGACCATTATTTATAAGTACGAGTTTTCGATATAGCAAAGTAACGAGCATAAAGTGTTCATAAAGTGTTCATAAATGTGAACAGTAGCACGTCAAGTAGCAATCTTAAAATGAGCGCATGTAGAAAATTTTTCAAAAGAAACAATAATCCAATAAACAATAATCATTCCAAAGTATAAGGATACGGATGACTCTCAGGAGTCAAATTCCCATTGCATTACCAGAAGCTTGATCCCGTAGTAGTTGACACTCCGTCAACTTTCAAGTAAGTAACCAATCCAGTAGAACACCACTTAAACGACTCTCCGTCCACCGTTCAACCCCCAGCTGGGCCCAAAATCCTCAAGAACACGGGTGGTAATACTCGAGTATACCGATTAGTCGAGGAGATATCACTCCACTCGACGATACAAGAGACCCAGGGTTCGCTTACCCAATCGACCAAGCCCTTGCCGCTCGACTAGAGTAACTCGCCACAGGGTTTCTGGAATTCCAGGAAGTGCGCGCATCATAAACAAGTATATCAAGTCAATTGCAACAATAAACAAGTATATCACGTAAGGGCAAGTGCGATAAAGTACACTCTTGCCCTTACAATTCACGTATATAACATGTAATCAGATTGGTCACGTATCAAGTTCAATTCGGTATTTGAAAGCACTCACCCAAAAGATATAGTGCTACTGGTCACTTTCAGGTTATACTCCGAGTTCGGAGTCCAAATCTGCGATAAAACTCAATTTGAGAACTTTGAAACATGACTAGAGTTCGAAACTTAGACGTTTCGTTCAATAAGAATCAAGAAATTGAAATTCACTTGGAGAATACTCGTGAGATACTCGCTCACTTTTTAAATGATAAAACTTTGTAACATTTATACTTGAAATGGTCATGCGAGTCGAAAGTACAAGGGAAAACGTACTTTGAGCAATCATTATTTCATTTCTCAAGGGTACAAGTTCGGCCAAATCCTTACTTATATACCTCGAACAAGAAGACTCAAGTACCCTAGATGGTTCAAGTACTATTCATATCAACTCGACCCAAGTCGCAAGTGTATTTATATAGTTCTCGAGCGTAAATTTGGGCAGCATGCCCTTTGTGTTTACCTAATTTTCCAGCCATTTAGGCTTCATTATTTTTCTTCAACAACAGCCCAACAACATACATATCAGCAATTTATGTCAAGAGCCGTTCCATAGGCTCACAATATCATAACAACAAGAACCGCATCAAGTACAAGTGCAGAAATTCAATGTGGCACAAGACAGATTTGACGTATACAAGCGGAAATAACTTGTCCGAGGCTACGCTTATCGGATTAAGGCGAAACCTATGCCGTTTCGAAGCTAAGACACAAAGCTACAACATTTATGAAGGTCACTTAGTCCATTTCCTAATGTAACTTAGTCAAAATCTCAGACTACTAAACCAGAAACCAATTCATCGGCTGTTTAAACGCATTATGCTGTAGCGGACCTAACTCAGTGTACACAAGTCCGAATCAGGTTTTCTTTGAGGCATTTTAAAGCTACTTCAGAACACTACAACTTTTATGTTTTGGCCCAGAGCTAAATCAGAATGGATCCTGATCAAAAATCGTGATAAACTGGACTGAACTGAAGAAACGGACTGCTGGGAAATTCTTAAAACAGCAAGGGTATTTTGGACTTTTCATGACCTCCGTTGCTCCGATTGAGCTGAAATTTTACAGGCACCTATAAAATTCCATTCTCTACAACTTTCCTTCTTTGACCAAAGGCCAATTAGGCCTCTAACATATAGGTACAATTTCGGACAGAATGCTTGGGAAATTTTCCAGAAATCTGGAATTTTTAGCTCTAAGTGTAATTTCCTCAAATTTCTGGTTCTAATCACCACTAAACAACCTTATATAACCTTAATTGCAACATTTACACATCATACATCACATTGAGCAGAAAATCAGAACCCCTAGTTCATCAAATAAATTGGGAAAAACCTCTAAATCATGCTAATCATCCATGATTCCACCACTATAATCAAACTACTAACTTAATTTAACAAAATCAAAAGCAAAACTTAGAGAGATGAGTTCTCTTACCTTGGTTAGAAGTCTCTAAAAGCAGCCCCAAGCTTTCCTTTTCCAAACTTTCACCACCAAACACTAACTAACCACTCAAAGACAAGATTAATCGGTTTCTTTTGCTTGATTTCTCACTTTGTTGGTGGATTGAAGAAGAAATGGAGAAGAGTTTTGTTTTTCCTCTCTTGTTCTTACTCTCTCTCTCTCTCGGCTCTTAGCAGCAGAAAATGAAGAGAAATGAAGCTGATTTTTGTCTTATAAGGAGTAAGAAGGTTAGAGTTAATTAAGACCACAATTTGGCTAACACTTGGACAATTCTTAGCCACTAATTTTTCTCTTTCTTCCCCTTACTTATAAGCCACAAATTTCGGTCCCCTTAGCTGTAATATAAGAAGATATTTTGGCTCAAATATCAATAAGCTTGTGGTGCAAGAAAGTGGTGGTCCAGTGGTGCGTTCAAACGGTAGTGCGCGGGACCCGCCGGTTCGCGCCGTTTTTCTTAAAAACTCACGTACTAGGGTTTTTACTTCCCATTCACTAACCTTATTTTACTGCTACTACTCACATATTATTTTTCACTTAAAAGTCACTTTTAATCTCCAAATTTAATCCTTACTCTGTACCGAAAATTCATCCGGCGAAAAATCGCGAAAACCCTAATTTTACTCCAAACTTGAAACCAAAGCGTAAAACCTTATTTTCTAGGTTTATTTACACTTATCATGGGATAATTGGATAGTAGGGCTTTAATAAATGATAATCTTCAAATAAAAAGAAATTTTTAAGAAAACGTGAGGAATTTTCCAATTCCAGTAATTAAAATTAGGGTTTCAATTAAAATATGAGAGATTTAGGAAAACCGGTTAGTCACAAGTAAACTAGGGTTTTTGGCTACAATATTAGGGTTTCTAGTCTTTTAAACCAAAATAAGGTTTTAAATCAACCCAAAGAAATACACTTTAATATTTTCTTCACAAACAACCTCCTAATATTCGGGATGTTACACACTCCATCTGTACTGATACCCTCCATGCTTTTTAGCTGAATAGTTTGTTCCTTACGCATCACCACATATACCTATCTATGGATATATGTACAAACAATATATATCTGTGCATACGCCTAGATTTTTCTATGTCTGCCTTTGTTTCTTCCTTCGTGTGCGCCTATAAAAAAACATGAGCTGCTCCAAGCTATGCTTAAGGGATGATCCTGATAAATTTCGTGAGAAAAGAGATAAGCGAAATCGTAAAAAGAGAGAAAAATTTACTGCTCTATCTGTCGAAGAGAAAGAAGCTCAGCGGAAAAAGAACAGAGAAGCCTACCAGAGGAAAAAATTGGAAAAAATGCATTCCATGTCCTTGCCACAACAATTTGAAAAGGCTTGTAAATCACCATTTTCTGCATCTGTTATATGTAGCCTTCCTGCTCAACAATATTCTCATGGTACTTAGTGATTCAAAAACTCTTATTATATTCTGATAATCTGTCTGTCCATAGTATGTTCATGATAACCTGTCTATTTCCCTTACTTCGTTCATGGTTAGCTTTGAATCATAAAGTTACCGGACCCATTGCATCTCAAACTTCCAAACACAATGAAAATGTTCATGGAATTATTGGTTGTAATCAAGGTTAGTGGTAGTATTTATTCTTCTTTACCAACTTTTCTTACAATTTTAACCACTGGCTTTACGTATACTGAACTGGAAATTTTTCTGCATGACCTTCAGCTCATTCACGCAGTGATGTCTCATGCTCTCATTTTACAGAACACTTTACAGGTACCATTTCTATGTTCTATGTACCATGAATCAATAAATTCACCTAAACTTAGTTGTATATGTATCTGTGTTTCCTGCTACATTGTAGTCATTTAGACTGTCCACTGTTTCTTATCCTATTACAATTCCATTTCCTTTTTTATAATATTCATGCCACCAGTCTCAACTGTATTTACTGTAATAGGTGCTTCAAAATCTGGTATTCGAATTTCTCCCTCTCCAAACAATAGTGGTGAACTATCTTCTGCTGAGTTGGGTAAAAAATTAAAGCAACAGATTTCTTCCTTCTCAAGCTATGAGAAAGGTACATGGTGTACTTTGTTTTTAATATATCCCTCCTACTCAGATTATAAACACTATTCTATTGATACAATGGTCTACCTCCAATTTTTATACGCAGGATCTACTTCTAACTCTGCTACACAACATACATGTGTACCTACTGACATGATACACAATGCAGGTGATTTAAGCTTCAAAATTGATCATTGATTGTTGTTCATTATATATAACCATCAATATCATGATCATCAGCTATATTAGTATTCTTCTTTGCTTCTCAGATAAATCATTCATATGTATGAACTGCTACAAATTCTTGACAGAAATAGCTGAACAAACGTCAGGTCATAAATCTTCTTTCAACTTTTTCAAAAAACTCCTGATGCGATTGTGTCTAACAATTTCATGAACTTTGTCTTCAATAGATTTGTCAGCTATCCACCCAACATACGAGGTGTATGAAGTTCCTCATAATCGTTCTACTAGAACAAGGAGAAGTGCAGGTTACTAGCTTTGATGTGAATATATTACCTTGTGTATAGAAGAACTCAAATTAGCATATCAACTACTTGACAATTGTCATAAGATTGTCATTTTATTCTCAATTTTGTTGTGTACCTACAAATTTCTTATTTCTGACCATGGTTGTTTTATCAGATCATAAGCAGAAATCCCAACCATTTTAAATCTTCTTCTTCCATCCTCATACAGTCTATTTCAATCTCATATTTCAGTAAACTATTTGTAAACTAATTTGAGATAAACAATTCATCAAATAATCATCTCATTAAAATATATTAAACTCTTTAATTGCTTCTGATGTTGATCAAAATGCTTCAGTATTTCTCAAGCTTTCAAACCTCCAATATCACGTTCTCTGACTAGTTGATAACATCAGCCTCACATGTCTAAGTAATACTTGCATTATATAACCTCAAACCACTTCTGTTCATGCAAATAGCTTGATCATATTGGTACCACTACGTACATAAAGGTTATGGCTTCTGCTTCTAATTATATATACATGAATCATTCAGCAAAAGCCATTCATCAGCAAAACAATTGAAAACTATTAATAACAAAAGAAAAAAAACAGAGATATACGTTACAAACCACTGGTTGTTCCTCTTCTAGCTCCTTATTTTCACTTCCAACCTTTAGTTTACCTGAACTAATTGGTAATTCCATAGGTAACCAGCCTATTGATGGAGTTCATGCACTCCAATTTATTAATGATCAGGCAGATAGATTACCTCCAAAAACTGATTGTCAATATTGTGGAGCAATAAAACTGCACTCTGAGACACCTAATTTCTGTTGCTCTGACGGACAAGTAGTTCTACATGAAAATAAATTGCCAGATATTCTTGTGGAATTGTTCACTGGTCACTCTGATGAAACTTTATCCTTCCGCACATATGTCAGAACATATAATAATATGTTTGCCTTTACCTCTTTTGGTGTACACTATGATAAATCGCTCTGCAAGAGAACAAATGGCATTTATACCTTCAAAGTTCAGGGACAAACCTATCACTTTATCAAAGACCTTATTCCACATGGAGGATCTGGATTATATCTACAACTGTATTTTCATGATACAGACCATGAGCTCGAAAACAGAATGGTAGTTTTAGAAAGATTAACAGAGACTATAGTAATGAAGGTCATGGAAGTCATGAAGTCTAATCCATACGCATGTTTTCTCCGCAGTCTAAGAAACGTTCCAAATTTAGATTCATATCAGATAGTCTTGAAATCACATTCACAAAATGATCAACGAGTATTCAATCACCCAACAGCTTCTCAAGTTGCAGCTCTTTGGACAGAAATAGAAAATTCAAGAACAAGTTATGCCAGACACATCAAAATTTATACAAAAGAAGGAAGGGATCACCTCGTGCAGTACTATTATGGGTGTTACGATCCTCTGCAGTATCCACTATTATTTGCACTTGGTGAAACAGGCTGGCATCCTGGGATCAGAAGATTGGTCAGAGAAAATCCCAAAAAGAGAAAAAGATGTATTCAGAGGAACAAATCTACTGCTATTCTGACCAATTACAAATCTGCTGAAGACATGATATCTGCTGAAGAACAAGGTATTCCTAACAGGAATGGCTAACACATTATCTATATGCAAATGACTTGTACATTACTTATATACATTGCTCAGATGTTACTTATATAATTACTGGTGTCCAATTACTTGTTTCCAGAACATAGTACTTCCATTATTTTCCATCAACCTCAGATCATCCTATATCTTATGAATGCATGCAGCTTCATATGCTGAAACCAGTAACTGATACCTTATTTTTGTAACTTTCAGTCTCTAATGATCCTGAAAACAACGGTGAATTTGTGTCAATGCGAGAATATTATGCTTATAAATTGCAGATGAGAGACAAATATTCTCCAAACATACTTAACACTGGCAGATTACTTCAACAATATGTTGTGGATATGTACATCAAAATTGAAAGCCAAAGATTGGATTACTATAAGAGCAAACAGGAATTTATAAGAAGAGAGCAGCTACAAGGCGTAATGGATAGCGTTATAACAGGTCAATGCCAAGCTTCAAAAATAAGCCAGCGAGTGGTGCTTCCAGCTTCATTCATAGGAGGCCCTTGTGACATGAAAAGCAGATATGTTGATGCTATGGCTTTGGTGCAAAAATTTGGCAAACCGGATTTATTCATTACAATGACTTGCAATCCTTCGTGGCCAGAAATAAAGAATCTCATGCTTCCAACAGATGAAGCACATAACAGGCCAGACTTGCTCAGTCGAATCTTCCACGCAAAACTTGATGTTTTAAAACAGGAGTTATTCAAGAAAGAAATATTTGGATCTGTTGCTGCTTACACCTATGTCATAGAGTTCCAGAAACGCGGTCTACCTCATGCTCATTTCCTCATAATTTTAAAGCCATGTTCAAAACTTTACTCCATAGATTCTTATGACAAGATAGTTAGTGTAGAGATTCCAGATCAAAGCAAAAATCCATATCTTTTCAACATGGTTCGTAAACACATGATTCATAGCCCCTGTGGAAAAAGAAATCCAACCAATGTTTGTATGCAAGGAGGACATCAGAGAAAATGCAGGAACAATTATCCAAAGCCATTTGCCGATAAAACTTTTCATGGAGATAATACATACCCCACTTATCAAAGAAGAAACAATGGATACAAAATGATGGTCCGTGGACATGAGGTTGATAACAGATGGGTTGTTCCATACAGTCCTTACCTTCTTGGAAAATTCAACTGCCATCTGAACGTTGAAATCTGCTCTACAGTCAAGGCAGTGAAGTACATAGACAAGTACATCTACAAAGGTCATGACAAGATTCATTTTCAACTCAATTCACAGAATTCTAATGGCCCAAATTCTAATGGTCATGTCTCTGCAATCGATGAAATCAAAGACTATTAGTCAGCTAGGTGGGTATGTGCTATGGAAGGTATATGGAGAATATACAGATTCCTGCTATTTCAAATACATCCTGCAGTTATTCACTTACAACTTCACTTAGAAAATTGTCAACCATTGAATTTCAGAGAAGACCAAGACCTACGTGATATAGTAAGAAATAGATTTGCTAAGAGAACCATGTTGACAGAATTTTTCTACATGAATTCTACTGATTCTCTAGCTCAGAACCTCAAATGCACTTACAGACAGTTCCCTGAGCACTTTGTTTGGTATCCAGGAAGGAGAAAATGGGAGCCAAGAAAACAGAAAGATTGTATAGGTAGGATAGTGACAGCCAGCCCAATGGAAGGAGAACGCTACTTTCTTAGATTGCTCCTCACACATGTCAAAAGTCCAACTTCATTCGATGACTTAAGAACAATAAATGGAGCATATGTACGTACTTTTCGTGAGGCAGCAATTCTTAGGGTTTACTTTGAGTCTGATAAGTCACAACAACAGTGCCTTGAAGAAGCAATTATGTATCACATGCCATATAGTTTGAGAAGATTATTTGCCACACTACTTGTTCATTTTCCTCCTTCAAATGCCAGATATATTTGGGAACAATTTGAAGAGCCATTATTTGAAGATATCAGCAGAACTCCACAAATATCGGTTGATCAAATCCGCTTCTAGGTACTATACCAGATAAATGAGTTCCTACAATCAATGGGAAAAGACATCAATCAGTATGCTTTAGTTCCAAATATCATGAATTTTGATAACTTGAACAAGAACACTCATGATACAATAGCTGAAACAAGAATCTGTGTACCAGAGCACGACCTATTAGCAATTGAGCAATTAAATGCTGATCAGAAAAAAGTTTTGATATTATCATGAATGCAGTATTTGTTGAGAAAAAAAGGGCCTTCTTCATCGATGGACTAGGTGGAACGGGAAAAACATTCCTTTATCAAGCACTACTAGCAGAAATCAGGTCAAAAGGATACATAGCTCTTGCTACAGCATCTTGTGGAGTTGCGGCGTCGATTCTCCCAGGTGGAAGGACAGCTTACTCAAGATTCAAGATACCAATTGGTGGAACACGAGATAAGCAATGCAGAATTAGTAAACAAAGCTCATTAGCAAAACTTCTCCAGTCTGCAATTCTGATAATCTGGGATGAAGCTCCAATGACACATAAGACTTCAATTGAGAGTGTTGACAAAGTTCTGAGGGACATAATGGACTGCAACAATTTGTTTGGATCAAAGGTTATTGTTTTTGGAGGCGATTTTCGTCAAGTCTTGCCAATAGTAACAAAGGGATCAAAATCTGAATTTATTGATGCAAGCATAGTGAACTCATATATATGGCCACAGTTACATAAGTTACATCTCACTCAAAATATAAGAGTAAGATATGATGCATAGTTTACTGAATATCTACTCCGCATCGGAAATGGAACAGAGCCACTTATCTCCAAGAATTCTAACCAGATACCTGTATCAATGCTGATAAGATATACCAATGAGGAAGAATCAATGAACACATTGATCCGAACAGTGTTCCCAGATTTGAATGCTTTTTCCTAGGACAATTTCTCTGCAATTAATCATGCTATTCTGACAACAAAAAATGACTTTGTCGATGAAATTAATCAAAGGCTCATTGTACACTTAGAAGGACAACTGCAAGAATATATCAGCCGAAACAAGTGTATAGATAGCTCTGAGCAGACAATCATGGAAGATTTGCTAAACAGTTTGACCCCAAATGGTTTTCCCCCTCATAAGCTGCTTCTGAAACCATACTGCCCTGTCATGTTACGGAGAAACATTGATCCACCTCAGGGATTATGTAACGGCACCAGACTGATATGCAAATCCTTGAGCTCCAATATTATACATGCAGTCATAACATGTGGAGAATTTGCTGGAAAAGAGGTCTTCATTCAAAGAATTTGTTTCAGAGCAGAGAATAATTCAGACTCACCAGTATCATTCGAACGAATTTAGTTTCCTGTTCGACCCTGTTTTGCAATGACAATAAACAAAGCTCAGGGGCAAACACTTGATTTTGTTGGCATACATTTGTGTGAGCCGGTTTTTTCCCATGGACAGCTATACGTAGCAATGTCAAGAGCAAAGAATAGTAGTTCTATTAAAATTCTGATTAAACCATCCATATTTGATGACCAAGAAGACTCAATTACTGAAAATATAGTATATACAGAAGTACTAGATTTAGCTTATCAATAACTCCCCTAACCGTGTGCATATCAGTTATTTATCTATATTCATGATTTTATGACTCTTTTCCCCTTCATTCAGTACTTACCTATTCTTATTATGAGTTGCAGGAGGAAAAAAAAATCCTCTCATTTGCTGAAATAATTCCTGGAATACAAAACTGGACAACTATGGTTCAGGTTCTAAACAAGCAAAAGCCATTACTCTCAAAGGCAGGAAATCGATATCGGAAGATGATATTAATTGATCAGCAGGTAATCCAAATTCTCAATTCCAGCTCATGTCCTTTATTACTCAATTTTCACATTGACATCAAGACAATCATGATTGTTCTCAGGGGACAACGGTTGAAGCAATGATTTATAAATCAGACATAAACTTTTTCCGAAATCATTTCCAACTCTACAAACGATACATTCTCTGCAACGCTAGAGTTGAGTACACACCATCAGAGTATTCCACTCATCCAAATCAGTGTACATGGTACATAGACAATTCTACTGTTGTTCAAGCAGTAGATGAAGTCGAGCCACCTCAGATTCCAGCTGTGTTCACATTCTCGGCCTTTAGAAGATTCCACCAACATATGGATGATAACACAGATATAGGTAACTAAGAAATCTGACTGCTAACTTGGTACTACCTTTAATTTTCATTAGAGTTATGACTCAGCAGAATTCAAAATCAGATGTCCTAGGCATTGTCGCTGAAGTCCATCCTCGGATAGAAAGGGCCATTATAGCTACTAGAGAAGTGGTACTTATAGATAAAAGGTATGTAAAACTATCCATTTATTCTATATGAGTTCTGAACCACCACATATTGATACAAATACTCTGTTCTAACAAATGTTTCACCTATCAATCAAACACACTGCAACATGATGCCAGTCATTCTGACACTTTGGGGCGAGCATGAAATAGATGAAGGCCAAACACTTGCAAATATGATTGACACAATGCCGCTGATTGTTGCACTTCGGATTAAAGTATCATCATATCACAGTGAGCACATAAGAAATTCATTATCCTTCACATATTTTCTGACGTAGAACATACTGATAATACTATGTACATTATGGGGCGTAAATATTGCAGCACTGAACCTATCAACGAAATTTGGATCAAGCATTCTCCTTAATCCTCCAATACAACAAGTTGTTGATCTGAAACACTGGTGACAATCCTTCTTAGAAAATATCATTCCAAAATATTTTGTATTAAATATATATTGTAAACCTTACAAATAAAACTTCTCTCTTCACTCACAAGGGCTGTTGAGAATGAAGCAGAAATCAAAAAACTAATAGCAGAAAAAGCATACCACAACCGAGTTAAGCTTCTACCACAGCCAAGGGATGACGAGCTGACCACTATTCAAGACTTCCTTGTATTTCCTACGGTCAATTCTACATCTCATCATTTATTGCCAATAATATTTTCAGATTTCTAACTATAATTCAATACAGAAAAAAGCTTATTGGTTGTGTGGTACTCCAAGATTGCTAGACAAAAGCCAGCGATTATGGTATAATGCTTGTCCACAATGCCATAAATCATTCAGAGCAAAGCCTATCTGGAAGATTGTTTGCACCTCATGCAACAAACATGTCAACATAGCTGCAAGGTGTCGATTAACTATGGAACTTGCTGATTATTCTGGAGTTTTAACGCTTGATCTTTATGATAACGATGTTTTTCAGTTACTCACTTTCGCAGATGCAAGAGTTAGAAAACAAGGTAAGAAATACAATTTCCATATGCATATAGAATACTGTGATTAACAGGTAAGTATAGTGTATTTGATGTCAAGCTGTTGATTTTAATTGCACAGCATGAACTGAACTATGAAGCTATTGAAGAGGCCATTAACAACACTCTGATAACATGCTTTGTGAAGAAAATGGTAAACAGCCATGCATCTGGCAGTACTGAAAAATACTCTGCCATTATTCTGCACAAAACCCTCCTAGCAGAGGTTATATCAGAAGTTCCTTCGACCATTGCCTATTCAAAACCAAATCTAGAACTTCCTTCCACCAGTACTGATGAAAATGTGGTCAATACTACTCCAAAAGACACAAATGTGAATTCCAGTTGCCTCTCTACCCTTAAGATCACTGAGAGCCCAACTAAAAATCAACGCAGCGACAAGTATCAAAAGGAAGATTGAAAATGCCATATACTTGTTTTTGCTATTACATATTTTTGAAGCTCTGCTACCTTAACTTTTGATTGCTGAAGCTTTCCTGTATTTTGTGGTCTCCAAATATTTTAGCAGCTTTTGTATAGTTCTCAACTTTCCCTGCACTTTTGCTTAAGGATAGTTAGCTGAGCTTTTTAAAAGTGGAAACGTACCACAGTTTCATGTACAACTTTTGATCCCTAGAACTTGGCTACTCAACTTTCTATCCCTTAACTTTTGGTTCGTCAAGCTTTAGTACAGTTTGTGATTTGCAAATATTTCAGGAGGTTTTGTACAGTTCATCAACTTTCCCTGCATTCTTACTTAAGCATAGTTACGTGAGCTTTTTCAAAGTCCAAACGTACCAAAATTTCATTTATAGTTATTGAGAACCAATCGCATAACCAAAACTTGCACCATAGCAACTAATCTCCCTTCATTGCCTCTGTTTTGCTTTCTGCTACCATTCAAAACTGATTCGAAGTTTACAATCATTTATTCATACCACCTTCATTCCCAAAAAAGCCACACACCACACTACAATGAAACTGATTAACAACTGACCAAATACAAAAACAGCTACACCAAGTACAAATTTCATGCAACTGAAGTTGCTAAACACAATATCTAAGCACGAACTTACACATACAATACACTAGAGTACAACAGCAAACAATTCCATACTACAAATTATAAAAACTCATGGAAACATCCATAGCTATCCCCTACAAATTTCTGCCAGCCGCATCAGAAAATCCACCCATAGCACTTTGAGTTACTTTTCCCTGTTCTTCAATTTCTACTTCCATACGACCAGCAATAATCTATAGAAATGGCAGTTCTCCAATATTTCCTAATGTACTTTCCAGCACACAAGCCTTCTCCAGATGTCGATAAAAAGATTTGAACAAGTCATATATCTCATTCCTAAGTAGAATATTATTTGCTAAAAGCCGATCTGCACCACTCAACATTCCATTATCTTCAGTATGCCCAGCCAAATTTCCCCGCCCACCAATTAGTGATAACCGATTTAGCATAACCTCAACATCTGGATGCAAATCACGCAATACTCCAATACGATTGTGAGTGTAATTCATGTTAAACTGACAAAAAACTAGAAACATCAATCACAATATACCAACTAAATGATGAAATCACAGAACTAAGGAATTTATACACAACAAGTACATCATAAACCAAAAACAAACAAATACAAAAAACAAAATGATACTATACACATGTGAACCAAACAAT